TAAAGTGTTGCGTTTATAATTTTGTTCAGTGTAATTTTTAACATTTAATAGGCATAAACTGCTTAAAAAAATTATTTTAAATAAACTTGATTCAAGTTTGATGTATATACTAATATAGTAATGTTTCTGAGTTATTTTTGGTCTCTAGTAAGTTTATTTTGTGCTTTCATTTTCACAATTTTCAAAATGTCAATTATTCAATTTCAATTATATAATAAATTAAAAGAAAACGGATAGAATAGAGCAAGCTAGTGTTAGAGGCCTTTTTTGTTAGTTGTATAATAAATGAAAAGAAAACGGATAGAATTAAAAAAGAATAGAGAAGCTAGTGTTAGTTTAAAAAAAAAAAGAAAACAAGCAGTTTTTTATAGAATAGAATTGAAGAATAGGATTAGAATAGAGAGTGCTAGAGTTAGAGGGTCTAATAAAGATGGAAGAGATGTGTTTTTAGCCGATTCTTGAAGACTGAGTTGGGCAGGTCATTCCACCAGGAGGGAACAGTTAATGTAAAAGTCAGTGAAAGTGATTTTGTGCCTCTTTGGGATGGCACAATAAAGCGACGTTCACTTGCAGAACGCAAGCTTCTAGAGGCACATAACTCTGAAGTAATGAATTTAGGTAAAGGGGTGCAAAGCCAGTGGTGGTCTTGTAGACAAACATTAATCCTTGAATTTTATGCTAATTATTTTTCCATTTTTAATATTTATACTTTTATACGGTACTTATTAATGTTAAAAACAGTTGTGCTATGTAATATTTTTGTGAAAACCGTGATGTATTTTTTTTCAGGATTCTTGAATTGCAATGAATGAAAAAAAATAACAGCATTTATTTGAAATACTGTGTGTGTGTGTGTGTGTGTGTGTTTGTTGTTTTTTGGTAACATTGTCAAAGTCTTTGGCACAGTCACTTTGTCAATTGTATGCACCCTGAATGCATAATGAATAAAAGTGACACTAAATGTTTTCGTATTAATGATTATACTGATTGAAGTGTTAAGTATAATATGACACAGTACCAATTTTTAGTTTGTTTAGAGTTATAACCAAAAGTAATGACTTGAGGTTGAAATGTCATTTTGATCAATTCAGTAAGAACTGGTTCTTAAGAAGAACCACTTGTTTGGAAGTGAAGGCTAGAATACACAACATGACTTTTGGCCTTATTTGCAGTCTGGAGGAGTCAACACTAGTTGACAAAAATCAGTCTGCAGATATTGGGGAGTCAAAGAAAATCACATAGTGGGCACCGACAGCTGATTTTTCCCCTAAACTTTAGGCCATGATTCCATCTAGCTGAAGAATCAGACACATTTGATATTTTGAGCCAATTTTAGAACACATTTTCATTTGTCGTAAGTCTGCTAGAGACCTAGTACAATGTGTATCGATAGGATATGTACCACGTTATTGATCAAGTATTAAAAAAAAAACATTGGGTCTCATTCACTAATAATTGCTCGGATTATTTCTTATTTGTACGTACAGGAGAACTTTTCACCAATA